ACTATCTCAGCAACCATAGCTTTAGTAATAACTATCTGAACCAGTAAAAACAAAAACCGCTACTACTGGTGGGGGGGAGGGGGAAACAGGGAGTTGTTCCCTGGGTACAGAGTTTCGGTTTTGCAAGGTGAAGAGGTTCTAGAGAGCCGTTGCCCAACAAAGCGAACATATATAAACTACTGAATTGTATGCTTGGAAACAGTTGAGATGGTAAATTTCATGCTATGTGTTTTTTTTTTCTTTACCACAATTGGAAATTGAAAACAAACAAAAAGTACTAGTACTACTGTTCTTACTCCCTTGAGCATCTAGAATGTGCCGATGACTCTGCGGCAGATTCTCACAATGGCCTTGAGAGATGGATGTCATCATCTCCTCTTCACAGATGAGGGAAAATAACGGCGATGTGACTCGAGCTCCCCAGGTCCGCCCCGCTGTGAAGAGAACTGGATCCGCACCAAGCCTGTCTAGCCCCAGGGCCGGGCGTCTTGCACCAGGCCCACGGCTTCCTCGTAACTCGGGGGCTTCTCTTAGGGGATGAGAAGTCACCAGGGGTCTCACCCCGGGATCTGGAACCGGAGTTCTGGTCCGCCTCGTCCTCTGACAAGCAGGATGCCCACTTCCTTTAAAGAATGTGTTTATGGTTGAACAATGACTACATCTTGTCTTGGGTCTTTTTTGGCTCTTGGAGTGGAAACTCTGTCCTTTGTCTTCAGTGCGAAGAAACAATATTCACCACCGACCACTATCTCAAAAGCCGTTATGCTTCTGATCCTCACGAAAGGCTCTCTGAAGTTTAGCACAGGGAAAACTCCCGGAAGGTCACAGGATTGTTCATTTATTAAACTTGTTTCTTACAATAGACTAGTTTTTTTAAAGTCTACAATACATATAGTATTATATATTACTGTTTGTATTATTGATGTAATATGCTGATATTGATATAATTTTATATTGACTTATACATTTATATTATATACATTAGGTCTTATTTATTATATTCATCATATTATATATTAGTGTTATTTAAACTCAGGTTTCTTTGCTAGCTATCACATGGTTGGTTATCCAGAGTGGGTAAAGAGCTTTTCAGTTTTTTCATTCATGGAAAATATTTTTTAAAAATTTTAATTGGAATATATTTGACATATAACATATAAATTTAAGGTGTACGACATGTTCACTTGATAAATTTATCCGTTGTCATTATAATAATAGCTTCTTATTACATTATATAATTATCATTTCTTTTAGTGGTTGGAATAATTAAGCTCTAGTTCCTTAGCAAGTTTGATGAAGATAATACCACATTGCTGTCTATGTGGACAAAATATTTTAAATAAAGATGACGCTTGCAGGATGACACCTATTCCATTTTCTTTTTTTGTTACTTGAAATCCTAAAGTACGTGCCTTTCTTGAATAGTCTTACGAACCTTTAGAGCTAGAGAGGTCTTCACTTGTTGTCCAGTCCAACCTTCTTGGCTAAATGAAGAAACTGACCCCAGAGCATGAATTAGATTGGGGATGAAACAGAGCAACACAGCACAGCCGCCAGAAAGCCAATCAAAGAGCTATTTAAAGACCCGCCAGACAGAAACACAATTCTAACCATGCAAGCCCACATCACGTAATTTCTTTGGAATAAGTTTGTGATAAGGATCACATTTCCATTTCCCTTTATGTTTTTCCAACAACAGCTCATGATACAATTTGTACAGCTCCTGGTAACTTTTACTGGGGAAATTTTTGGAAAAAAAAAAAGACCATGTTTCAAAGGAACCAGACCTGATAAGAGGGCAGGAATATTTATTCCATTATTTCAAGAGACAGGTTCTTTGTTTCTCAGACACTTCCTGTTTTAAAAATAGCTCTCCACAACTGTTCCAGGACAAGAATGTCCTTTTAAATTAAACTGGCTTTGAAGATGCAATTTCATTTGCTTGGGGCAAACTGTAAATAAAATAGTCATCCTTTTCCAAAATACTGTTCAGACTGAGTATCCTGAACCCTTGGGATCTGGTCCATCTGCCAGTCGTAGCTGGACAGCAAGGGGCTGGGGCACCAACTCCCATGGGGTAGGGAGGGATGTCACCCCCTCAGGGGACAAAATCATCCAACCATCAGGGCGGTAAATTAATGATGTTGCAGAGCCAAAAATTGCTGCTCATCTGAAAGACTTGGCTAAGTAGAAGGAAAGTGTTACTCTGAGTTTTGTTAGATGTGATCATAGCATGGGGGTTATGTGTGAAGGCACCCACATTTCTCCCCAGCATGTACTTGAATGTGAAAGGGTGGAGGGGTGCCATGACTGAACTGCTTTAAAGTGCATCTGCCAAGAGAAGGGAATCAGTGAGAGGGATCGGGGAAGCAGAGGGGGCAGAATCCTCGTGAGCTGAAGCCGGGTGGCAGGTGTACGGGCGTTTACTGCGCTTGTCCTGCAGCTTTATGTTTGGAGACTTTCATAATAAAAATTTTTCAAGCTGGATACTCTGTTTTCCAGGAAAGGGCATGAGTTTTTCTCTGCCAAGGAAGTGCAGCAAGAGCCCGTGGGAGTGGGGATGGATTGGTGGTTTGAGGCTATTTGCACAGCAGGTGTGGGTCCATGTGTGCATGTGAGCATCTCTCAGTGTATGTGAGCCTAGGGGAGAGGGAAACAGGATTTAAGACTGGCTTGTGACCTTTTTCCTGGGGTGTCTGGGAACCTCTAAGGCTGGATGAGTCGTGGACACCCTCACCAAACAAACCAGAGAAGTTCACAAATGTGCCTTCGGGAATTTGTGGATTCCCTAAGCCCATCCCACCCCCCTGGGTAAGAACTTCTCATTCAATGAGTGACCTTTCTGTACTTTTCTGGCTACCATGCCTTTGTAAAGCAGCAGCTAAGGTTGGTGAGATACTAAGTCACCACAGCTGTTTCGCTTTGGGGCTCTGGGGGAAGGACTTCAGACGCTGAGCCTCCATTTCCCCATCTGGGAAATGGCCTGACACTCCACCCTCCTCACCTACAAAGTTGCTCTGATGTTAGAACAAAATGATGCAAGTTGAATGACTCAGGAAACTGTTGAGCTTTTTCACCAAATGTGGAGTGTGGGTGTTGGGTTTGAGAGTGGGGCTGGGGGCTGGGCCTACACGGAGAGAGGGGATGCAGTGCCTTCCCCACAGGGCCACGGGGCGTGGGGCTTTCAGATTTCTTCTGAGGGTTCCACCTCAGGAGGCGGAGGCCTCAGGAATCGCCGCCAGGCGCATTCTGGAAGTGACCCGCTTTTCCCGAAGGGGTTAGGGGCACCTCAGAGGTTCAGAAGCCTACAGGTCTCACACCAGGCCCCAGACCCCTGGCCCTGTGATGACAAAGAAGCGACACCAGGGAATCCCACCCCCTCCAGAGCCCCAGGGGCCCCTCATCTGTAACCTGGAAAAGGGAGATTAGGGCCAAGGGCTTGGACTGTCCTGGTTGACCCCCAAATTCCCTGAAATCTGTTGTAAACCCTGGTTGTGAGTTTTACTCACATGGATTATTGCCCCGACACGAGTCTATGTCACCAAACACCTCGGTGGCTCTGAAACGTTATCTTTCAAAAATCGATTTACTGCCAGGTGACCATGCTCAGTATCAGCAAAATGTCACGCTGATGGCACAGTGGACACAGTGTGATGAGAAGGATGCTTTACCTCTGTGGTTCCCTCAAGCCCATCACCCCAGGTCCAACGTGAGAAAAACACCAGATGAATCCCACCTGAGGGGCATCCTACAAACCCCTGACCAGTCCTCCTCAAAAACACCAAAGTCAGGCAAACCCAGAAAGTCCGAGAAACCGTCTCAGCCCAGAGGAGCCAAAGGAGACGTGTGGACTGATTGCCACGTGGGACCCAGGGGCGGAGAAAGGGCTTTAGGGGAAACTGAGGAAATCTGCATAAACTGTGGACTTTTAGTGAATCATACCATCTCAGCAGTGGGACATGGATTATAACACAGACACCATATTAAAAACAGGGCAAGTTGTATGAGGGGTTTATGAGAACCCTTTCTATTGCCTTTGTGACTGTTCTACAAGTCTAAAACTAGGTCTAAAAAGTTATTAAAATGCAACAAATAGATCATCATGTCTCAGAATGGCTCCCTGGCTGGGATAAAACATTTGTATCAGCAGCCGACAGCCAGCGTGCAGGGGGTGACCCCTCCCTAAAAGGTATGGGAGGGGACAGCAGAGAACTGGACCCAGAGATACAGGACACAGGCAAGGAACTTTTCAAAAGAAGGACTTGGAGGATCTTACTCTACCAGGGGCATGGTGGGGCCGTGTGCCCTTTGCTTTCCAGTAAAGGCTGGTTCTGATGCGGAACATTCCAGGATATTTATTTATCTTGGTGGTCCCATCTCGGCCCCTTCTGCCCCTGTCCAGTTTTGGGGTGGGAGGTTCTCTGCTGTGATTTCTCTGGATAAAGGCCCCCTGAGGCTGTGTGCCCAGCTGCGCAGATCCACAAGTGTTTATCATCTTTACCTGGAGGAAGGGCCCAGGGCTGTCTCATCTACCGGGGGACAGTGGGAAGCAGGACGGGAGCAGACCTGCAAGATCCTCAGCAACCCCTGAACGCGTCCCAGTGGTTATGTCCAAGCTTCTGGAATGTTCTAGGGGAATTCAGCTATGTTCTAGCAGAAGGCTCTTCAAGCAGGGGCTCAGGTGTGAAGGCTGCATGGCGTCCTTGCCCCTAGCATAGACCATGCCTGGGGGGACTGTGAGCAGGAATCTCTCTTCAAACCTTGGCCGCCTGCCCTAGTTACTAAGAGGTCAGAGTCAACCATTTCAGAGACCTGACCTGGAGGCACAGGTGACCCCTGCGAACATGCAAAACTGGCTCTGTCTGTGGCCCAGAAGCTCCTCAAGCACTTAGGATTTAAACAGGAACCCCGGGCCGATCCCGCCTTGCTACAAGGTGGGACTGTTTGTGCAATGAAAACAATGTTTATGTAAAAGGAAAAAAAAGATTCTTGTGTTTTGTATTAAAATATTTTATATTAATTGCTCAAACTTAATTTTTATACAACGAGTGCATACATTTCCGGAGTGTCATCTCAGGAGGGAGGTCAGGGAAGCTCAGCCCAGGCAGGGGGAAGGGCCGGGCGCTGCCACTCAACAGGGATGTCACAGACGGGGTGCAGCTGCGCCTCTCTGGGCCTCTCCTCCAGGCTGGGCTGCCTTTCCTGGTCCTGAGGAAGCCCCTAGGCCCCAAGGCCCCCTGACCAGCGAGTCCTTGCTGTAACAGTGGCTGTGACACGTCACGTGAGACAGGGCCGCCGTGAGCGTGTATATACAGACCCTGGTCTTCTCCTTTCGCAGACCTGCCCCCGAGGCTGCCCGCCTGCACGCGCTGCGTGGGGACCTGCGCCTAGGTGGCGGGCATGTCGGCCTTGCTGAGTGCGATGGCCAGCTCCAGGTCCTCCTGCTCCTGCCTCCGCAGCCGCGCCAGCCTCTCCTGCTCCGCCCTCTCGCTCTCCCGCTTGGCCCACGCCAGCTGCTGCTCCTCATTGCCAAACTACGAAGGAAAACGGAGGCTGTTACACGGCCCAGGGGCTGCAACCTGCTGATGGTGGTGTGGGGACACGGAGATGGCCTGTTGTGGGCTGGCGGGGCGCAGGGTAGGACAATGCTGGGATGCATGGTGGGGAGTTACCCAGTGTGCATGTGCAAACTAGGAAGAGCCAAAAGCCTATGTCTTGGGGGTGGGGGTGGGACACCCACCTCCCCGTGCTGACCCATAGTCATATGCACCTGGAAGCAGGGTTGAGTCTGGCCTTAACCTCTACCTCGGACTTCAGAGAACCAGCTGCCCTGCCCTCCTCGGGGAACTGAAGTGGGAAATGGTGCATATCAGTTTGGGGACATAGAGAAGGTTCTGGTGATTCCCAAGACTAAGTCTATGAGGCTTCAAGAGAGAGAAGCGCCCGCTTGGCCTCCTCTCCATGGAGAAAGCGGCCAGGGAGGAGAGGTCAGCTGAAGCCCAAGAACCCCAGGATAGCAAACCTACAGGCCCGGGGCTTGAGGATGAGCCAGCTGTAGGCCGACGACCCTGGTGGGCAAGGAGCCAGTGCTGTAGGGCTCTGGCACTCACTGGCTCTGACTCCAGACAGGCAGGGGCGACATGGCCTTGGAACACGGCATCTCTACCCCAGTCCGCTCCAGGCGGCCCTGGGGCCTACTGAGAGCCACTATCCTTGAACCCTTACAGGAGCCCTGGCATTTACGCTGCCGTTTGGTGACCCAAACCATTCTAAGCACCTTAGCTTTCTGGGAAGAAAGGCAGAGCCAGGTCCAACACTCTGGGTCCTACCACGGGTTTCCGGCTCCTCCAGGCCCCCGGCCACTTGGCTCTGTTCCTGGGGAGACGTCTCTGCCCTCTTGGCCCCGACACCCCCAGGCAAAAGCTGTGGCCTGTTCAGGGACTTGCCTGCCCAGCTCAGTGACTCTGGCAAGCTCTCAGCTAAGCATGGATGACACCAAAGGTAAAGGGCAGGCTGGCCCTCTGCAGGTGCCCCTATGGGGCAAGCAGACACACAGATACCCCAGTGAGACATGGTTCCCACAGAGAGCCCGGCAGACACTCCTGGTAGTGCCAGGGCAGGAAAAGGGCAGAAGTTCACTACCTCACACGTGTGCCAAGTCTGAGGGAAAGCCCCGCGGGTGGGCTCCTTTGGCAGCTGGGGACACTGAGGCCTGGGGAGCGGGGAAGCTTGGGAGAGGGGGAGGTGTCACCACAGCTTCAGGCAAAGCGGGGGACACAAGACGGGGACGGGCCCCGGAGACCCCGGCCCCAGCCCAGGGGCAGCTCTGGCTGTGGGGACAGAGAGCCCGACCCTGGTGACGCCAGAAGAGAGTGTGGGTGGGAAGGGCCAGGCCAAAGGGCCCCAGCAAGCCCCACAACGGCAGAGTTGCCCTCGGAGGCTCCGTGGGCCAGCGAGTGGGGGGAGTTTCTGAATGTCCTGAGCAGGTGCGGGGTGAGAAAGGGCCAGGCGTCAGAGCCTGGGGCAGGGGCCAGGGCAGTGGGGGTGGGAGGAGTCTGGCCTGGAGCCAGGTGTGGCCTGGAGGAGGGTAAGGGTCACGCCAGGAGCCTTGCTCCGCCTGGCGCTGGGAGTCAGGCAGGGACACTCCAGGGGGCCGCATGACGAGAGCCATCCTGCGAGCAAGAGCTGGGGCTTGGTTCTTGGAGAAATTGCTCAGAAAAATGCTCAGGGGGCAGATGGGTCTCCCAGCGAGACTCCCCAAAAACCAGCCCCTGCCCCATGTCACCACCGTGGGTCACAGATAAGTAACACGACCTCCTCACCCCACTGACCTCTTTGGGGAATTTTCCAACACCTCATCAGCAGAAAAACAAGGAAAAAGCTACAAATGCAGGCGGAAATGGCTCCATGGTGCAGCCGACAGCAGCAGGAGGAGAGGGGACAGCTGGGCTGACAAGGAGCCAGCCCAGAGGAGGGTGAGGGTGGAGGCTGGTAAGTTACGACTGGGGTGACCCCAACCAAGGCCTGAACCGAGAGACACGATCAGCCGAGTCTGCTGGGCCGCGAACTAGCCACAGGGCCCACACCGACTAGTCCCCGCTCGACCGAGTCTCAGGATGTCAGTGCAGGGGCTCCTGTTCCAGGGGTCTGCGTTTCCAGACTCGACGTGCCGAGAAGAATGTTCCAGATGCCTTCAGAGGGGCCTGGTTGGAGGCCAGCTTCTGGCCCTGTGTCAGGACTTGCGCCAGCCCCGTGGTCTGTGTGCACTTGAGCAGCATGTTGCCCTGTGACGTCTGAGATTGAGGGCGGGAGGAAGGGGCTCTCTGGGGTTCCCTCTGTGTCTGGAATCAGCAGCAAATCCTGTCCCGGCCCTGGTGGGGACCCCCCGACCGGGACACTCGCTCGTCCCCAGATGGTGATGTCACGTGACAGGCCAGAGGGTGCAGCTTCTCAGTGAAGGGCAGCTGATTCCTGCCCTGCTCTCCTGCGTCCTGGAACAGAGGCACAGTGGTGCGCGAGAACACCGCCCTTTCGAGACACTCCTGTCCTGAGGCTTGCCCACTCAGCATGCACAATAAGCAATTTTATTTCGGTGGCCTCTCTGCAGAAGTCCGAGGTTCAGATGGCCCCACACGCGAAGCACCTTCCCTCACTGAGGATCAACACCCACATCCCGTGTGGGGACGCTTCTAGCTACCTCCCAATAACTTGCTTGTCCTGATGCTGGAATCATGCAACTCGTGTAACGACGCAAAGGCCTGTTCCGCCCAATATTTGCTCGGCTCCTAATGCACTTCCGAAAAAAAGAGCCATTTTGCTAACCTATAAACGTTACTTCCTGACAAATACATTTGCCTGAGAATGGCTTGTTTTTAAAGAAATCCAGAGAGGTTTCCTGTGACCAGCTACAAGCCCAAGTAACCCACTGACGGAAACATGGGGCTCATTAGAGGATCCCGGTGTGACAGACCGGGTGTCCCTGGTCGGGGGACCACATGCGTGTGTGACAGCTCCTCTGAACTCCAGCACAGACCTGGCTGCTTTTGCAGGGGTGGTGACAGGCCTCAGTGGCACCCTTGGGACATCAGATCTGAAAAGAGCTCTGTTGGTCCTGCTGGGCTGTTAGAGGCCCATCAGCATTTCCTGGGGAGGTTGAAGCACACACACCGGAGGAACTAATTCGGTCTTCCTTTGAGTGAGCACGAATCTTCAAGGCCTGGTGAGCCCAGAAACCACAGGCTGATGAACCGAGTCTCTGGACACTGAAAATGCAGACATCCGGGGTCCCCAGGTGACCATGACTGGACTGCGGAATGACTGAGGGGGACACACCAAACCATTAGGTATCTTGCCTCTGTTGCACCTGGCCCACAAGACTGGCCACATCTCTGTCAGGTGGTGATGGCCTTGGAAAAACTAGGGCATCCAAAACGGAAAGGGGTTTTAAGCAGAAACAGCACGGCAGCAAAATGGACAGATTCCAACCCCTCACCTGGAAATGAGGGAGATTAAATAAGGGGAGTGTTTTAAAATTGAAGCTAACTGCTGTTCTGGAATGACCAGAAATGCTGGGCCAAATGGTAGCTGGACACCTTAGGATGTGTAAAAAAAAAAAAAAAGTTTTTCCCAAAAACCATCCACGAAGAGTTGGGTGGGGGGTGGGTGCAGGAAACAGACTGTGCACTTCAGAAAGAGAACAGTCATCTCTTCAAATTGCCGTTCAAATCCACTTACTCCTCTTCCCGACCCAAAACAGAACCTGAGTCATGCGTGAATAGCATCGTTTCTTTTTTTTTCATCAGCACTGAATATTTTTTTTTCCACCGAGAAAACAAATGCTGTGCTATTCAAGAAAACTGTAGATAAAGCGGGTTTTGTTTCTGGCTTTTATTAACAAGGTCGCCAGATTATACATCCACATCATGCACTGGCTGTCAACAAAACTCAGCTAACTGCGGTCCTAAAATATTTACAGGTCGTCAAGAGCCAGGAACAGGTCAGCATCTCAGGCGACTTCAAGAAGCCACGGTGCACAAGGTGGATTTGAAATGAAGCGGGAGCTGCCTGGGCACTGATAGGGCAGAGCTTGTTTTAAGATGGATATTCTAGGAGTCCAAGTATCTATAAATAATGCGTCTCACACCAAGAAACAAGGTACTTTGCACATTCAAATGAAGAAAACCTTTTTAAAAACAAGCGTGCCCAACAGATATCTGACGCTCTCTGGGAACATGACTGAAAACACCCAGAAAGTGATGGCATTTTACAATCTGGAATTCTTTTTTCACACGGAGAAACAAAGCCAGGCTTTCAAAATCCCAGGATTAGCTTCTGAAAAGGCACTTCACTTGGCTAAATGGCTTTTTGAGGGTTTTTTTTTGTTTGTTTGTTTTTTTTGCAAAAGGGAAGGGTTTCAGAGCAGTTGTTCTAGGCGGGGTTTCTGTATGCACCGTCGCTGACATGAAATTTAAAAACTCCTATCGCTCTTCCTTCGTGTGCCCTTCCTGGGTCCTCCTCCACATGCCTGCCGCTCAGAACACACGCGGTGGGGCCATCAGTGCTCTTGCACAAAGACCTTTCTGGGGACAGCGAGACCCTAATGTAACATTTGCAATCTTGTTTTCATACCTCAGGAACATTTGCCGTCTGGGCTTCCAAACATCAATGGACACAGTGGCCTGAGGCGACAGAAATAAACACCAAGCATCTACTGGGAGGACAGACAGGGCACGGCCGGCCACACTGCTGGAAGCTAACGGGCCCTTTCCACAGAGTCTCCAAACCGTAACTTTTTTTTCTTTATTGAGAAACCGTTTTTTCTTACAGAACGCAGCAAGTACATTATAAATAACACGAGTAACAGCATAGAGGTACGGGGGGCCATCAACCAGGAGAAGGTTTGCCGTTTGAAAGAGATGAAAAAAATAAAATAATAATTAACCCAAAAGCTCAAGCGGAGGGGGAGGAGGCGGCGCGGAGGCAGAGAACTCAACTTACAGAGGTGAGGTCTGCAAAGCCCAAGGGAGAGGCTTTAGAAGGTTTAGTTGAAGAGGAGGAAGCGAACGGATCTTTTCCACTAAATGGGTCCCCAAAGCCCTTTTTATTTTGGAACGGGTCACTGCTGTCAGCCCCGAGTGGCTGGAATGGATCGGGGGGCTCGGGAAAGTCTGCAGAACCCAGCTGGCTTACGGGTGTACTTTTACCTGGAAAGTTCAGGAGAAGAAAAAAAAAAAAAGAAAGAAATACAAGTTACTGACTGGGGAACAGATGGAGTGTCCCAACTGAGAAGGCTGGGGGCCACACTCTCCGGCACACCCTACCCCTCCTGGGAAGAGCTGGGATGCCCCTCCCTGGGGCAACCTGGGATCCCCAAGGATCTCAGCTTTACTCTGGCTTTATCCCCTGCAGGCTTCACAGTCTGTACAGGTTGGAGGACGCCACTTCAGTGAACCCTCCCTCCCTTCCCCGTCCCACACCAGTTCCAATTTATGCTTTACATGCAGGCGCGATCAAAGCGATTCATCTTAGATGGTAACACATTTACCTAAGGTTAAGTTAAGAAAAAAAATCTTGGCTGAGCAGAAAAATATACTGCAAGCTTCCAACAATTAAGAAAAAGGGGGATAGGTCGTTTGCAATTAGAGGGGAGTTCACACTGTGAGCAGAGTTAGCCGGTGTCAGTCGTGGAGGTCTGGAGGCAGCTCACCAGACAAGTCCCCTCTGCTGTTCTGTGCTTTAAACCCCTCTTCCGCTCCTGCTTCTATCCCTTTGGTGATGGCTGCTCCAAGGGGCAGAGTTTAGGCCATTCTGGGCTCTTGTATAGAGGGTGGCTCTAGGATGCCTGGGTCCCGGAAAGGAGGTCTTGACAGGGATGTGGGATATAGGTGTTTCAAATGGGAGGTTACCCGGGACTCCAGACATGCCCTGTGGGGGGTGATACCTAAGGGCAAGTGGCTTTTCTCAGCAAGTCCTGCCAACATGCCAGAACAGTCCACTAGGAACCAGGGCCCTTTCCAGGCCAGCTTAGCAATGGCAGACCCCACTTGGTAGGCTTCCAGGCTCTTCTGGTTTGGCAGGCCAGGCTCCTGCCTGCTCATCTGCCCAGTGACAGCTACAGAACTGTCCTGTGGCCACGAGTCACTTCACAGTCAGTCCTGGGACCCAGGGAGCAGCGGGCCATGCGATACAGAAGGGGCCCGACCACACGGCGGACATCAGGCCCTCTCTCCTGCAGCACTGCCTTCTCTGTACCTCTTGTCCCTTCTTTCCTGTTGGGCCCAGGTCCTCAGGCTGCCCCTCCAGCACCAAATGCTCCTCCCTGGGCTGCCTCCCTGCCATGGTTTCCCCACTTCCCCCTCCCCTCCTCCTCCCGGACCCCAGCACGCCCACATTAGCCTTGAAGAACTGGCTCCCCCAAGGCCACCTGGCTCAACGGCCCACTCCCTGGTCCAAGGGATGAGGCTTCAGGTGAGCCAAAGCCTTCGTGGTCCCTGGCACTGCCGGGAGAGGCAAGAACCGGGGCCTCCATCCCTTCCCCTCAGCACAAGGCAGGCAACTCAGGTGGGAGGGACCAGGTGGGCCTGCCCAGCAGTTTGAAAACAGGCTCTAGACTCTCCTGCTGGGAGCAGGGCTGGGCAGGTGACCCCCAGGCGCACGCCAAGCGGGAGGGAGGGTGGGAGTAGGTCCAGCACAGCCTGGTCCACGTGCCCGCACCGTGTCCAGATGCTTGTTTTTTCTCTGCAGCTGCCGCCCAGGCAAGCAGCCCTCATCCCTCCCAGGTGCCTGGGAAAAGCCTCCCCAGCCATTCACCGTTTCAGCTTCTGGCGCCACGGCCTTTGCACACGCTGACTGCGGCCCTGCTTGCATCTCCCTGCTGCTCTGGACACGCGCTCCCTGGCCTGGATCATCCCACCCCTGCCATGCCAGGCCCAGTCCTGTGTGCCTGCTGCTCCCTGCCTGGAGCGGCCACCCTCCTGCCTCTGCAGCGCTGTCACGCGGAGCTAGGTCGCTATGTCCCGTACTTGTGGGGTTTCTCTCCCTCTCTCTACAGAACACGAGCTCCCGAAGCTTGAGGGCCCATGCTTCCCCAGCGGCGAGTCCGAAGTCCCCTACAATCCACGCCGAGCCCTTGCCAACCTCACCCTGACGGTCCTCCAGGGCCTGGGCGGCCCCCCAGACTCAGGGCTCCTGGCAGGCCAGTCCCTGTGCCCAGAATGCACCTCTGGCTCAAACGGGGCTGCTTTCTCTGGGGAGCTCCCTGTGACAACCCCATCCCCTGGTGCCTGAGGCAGAGGTCAGAGTGGGGTGGCCCAGGCATGCCCCTGGAAGATAGTGAGGGGCACAGCCCCACCCTGCTCAGCCTTGGTCTTTCAACCTCAGTTCCCCAATCCATAAAAAGGGACTCAATTGTGCCCCCCCAATTCACTATATTGGGGTCCTCACCTCCACTACATCAGAATGTGACTTTATCTGGAAATGGGGTCTTTGCAGAGGTGATTAAGTTAAAGTGAGGTCCTACGAATGGCCTCTAATCCAACAAGACTGGTGTCCTTATAAGTAGAGAAGGGCGGGACACGCACAGGATGCCTGTGGGGACACGGAGCAGGTGGCCGCCTATAGGACAGACACGCACAGGATGCCTGTTTGCAGACACGGAGCAGGCGGCCGCCTATGGGACAGACACGCACAGAAGGATGCCAGTGTGCGGACATGGAGTAGGCAGCCGCCTACATGCCTAGGAGAGGCTTCAGGAGGAACCAGCCCTGCCGACACTTTGATCTCGGATTTCCAGCCTCCAGGACCAGGATACAATACATTTCTCTTTTCTAAGCCTCCTAGTCCATGGTGCTTTGTCAGGGCAGCCTGAGCCAACTCACAGACAGGGCAGCAGCTGGGAGCAGGGGTCGGCCACGACAGGGCAGTCTGCCTTGTGAATCAGGTCTGACTGATGTGCCACGTCATTTACATGTCCTCTATGGCTGCTTTTGTACTGCAACAGTGAAGCTGAGCAGCTGGGATTGAAAACACTGACTATGTGGCCTTGCATGGAGAAAGTGTGCACACCTCTGGTGTGGACAGGGTGCTCAGCTCAGACCTGGCAAGTGGTCAGAACCCCACGTTACTGCCAAGTGAGCAGGCCCTTCTGAGAAACTGAGGGACGGTCCAGGCCCCAGGGAGACTGGGGCCTCCTGCCCACAGCTCCAGCTCTGGCGGACTGCTCAGAGGCCCCCGGGCAGCACGGTGCGCACCTGCAGCCCCCAAGCCAGGACCTTCTCCCCTCGGGCGGCTCTAAGGCGCCTGCCAAGCGTCTGCTGAGTTCCTGCACTACTCCTGCCCATCCTGCTTCTTCAAACCTTCCATATACCCTCCTCTCTGAACCTCAGAGCAGCACTGGGTGCTGCCCCAAAAGACATGCAGCCCTACAAGAGGCCCCTGCAGAATGTACCAAGAATGTACTTCACTTTTCAAACCTGAGGCAGTGGCACCACCCAAGACTTGATGGTGGACAGACACACACGTTGCCATGTGAACCAGGCTCCAGGGACTCCTAGAATCCCTACAGCCTTTTCTGGGCCCACGGAGATTGGCCCTCATCTGTGAACCAAGCCAGTGCGTGTGAGGACCCACAAGGCCCGGGGCAGGGGCAACCTTGGGAACAACATGCTGAGAGAAGGGGACAGGGGCTGGGGTTGCATGGGGTAGGGATGCTGACCTCAGTGTGCATGGTCCGTGTGGCCTGGCCAACCCCAGCCTCCTTCCCACAGCCACTTCCTTGCTCCTGACCACCTTGGCTATTCAGTCTGGCCGGTCTCTCCCTGCCTTCGTGCAGGCTTGTCCTTCCCCTGAAGACCCTCCGCAGGGCTTACTCCTTGTCCACCTCCTGTGGCACCTCCTAGTCCAGCTTCCAGCACACCTGAGGCTTGGCACATTGCAGATGCCAATAAATTCGGCTCCCATCGCTGCTGGGTTCCTCGTGGGCCAGGGAGGTTCCCGAGGCTCTTTGGGGGAAAACCCTCTGGTAAGCCAGCAAGAAATAAAGACATCTGGCTTCCCTCCTTTGCAAGAAAGAGCAATCCTTACTGCTGCACTCCAGAGCTGATTTTTTATCAAAAGCTAAATGACAATGGACCAGACAGCAAAATTCTAATGGGGTAGAGTTAAGAGTTGCCAGTGGACAGGCTGAAAAGCCCAGGCCATGGCACAGCCCCTGGTTCCAGCAGAGGCTGGAGAAGGGGGTGGTCAGTTGCTTGTGCTCCCAGAGCATGTCTTGCAGGGGCTGGTCACAGAGGACAGTATATGAGGAGGAACAAAGGGGTCGGTCCTGCAGGCAAGCATAATGGTGCGGATGTTCAAATAGATCACCCACATGTGTGCTTTTTCTCTTCTCAACTGAGAAGACCTTCCTTCCCTGGTTTGGGTGTTTTGGGGTTTTTCTGCTTTTGGGTGGGGGAAGCAATTGAGAATCCAGCCTGCTAGAATTTCAAACTGAGGTTTCTCATAAGCAAAAAGATGATCAGGGAGATGAAAAGCGCCGTTCACATCAAGAGTTGCCCCAGCCTGATTCTGCTCTGTTGCCGAAACCGTTGTTATTTAGAAATCATGACTGTGTTAATATGAAACCAGGACACGTCAACTGCCCGTTTACGGGGGTCGGGCGGGGGAGGAACCAAAACGGTTTTTTCTTGGTTGTCTGTTTCTGTGCTCTAGCATAGAGGCAGAATTACTGGACCTGACACGTGCAAAGTGGGGGGCACTCCAGGTCTGGCCTGCGCTGTGCTGACACCCAGACCAGAGGCTTTCTGCAAAGGCACGTGTGCCGTGGCAGCCCGTGGTCCCAGCTTCCCACTCCACACCCTCACTTATTTTTAGCAGCTACACTTGTAAAACATTCTGGGGCTAGTTCCTGCTTTTATGTAACCACTTCTGCTAACTCCTTAATCATTTTTCTGATTTCCTGAGGTGTAGCTGCCTTAAACGTGACAAAGTAATCTGCCTCCCTGCCCCAGATAGACTCATGGCCCGGTTAGGCCTTTCCATGGCTCCAGGTACCATGACAGAAGATCGTGACAGAGGTGTGTTTCGAAGATGGGAACAAAGATAGTTAAAACAAAAACACCACCAAAAATACTGGTCTCGGAGAGCACCAGGATGGTAACTGGCACACACGGTTTGGGAGCATCATTCCTGGATATCCACCCAGGGA